AGAGAGAGAGAGAGAGAGAGAGAGAGATCAAAATCAAATAATTCTAGAATTCATTTATTATATAGCCAGACAGAAAGGCAGATTAAACAATAAAGAGATAGAGAGATAGATAGATAGATAGATAGTAGTGCTGTCAAACGATTAATCACATCCAAAATAAGTTTGTTTCCTTTTGTTTGTTTTGTGTGTATTTATATATACATAATAAATATACACAGTACACACACATATATTATGTAAACAAAAACTTTTATTTTGGATGCGATTAATCACGATTAATCGTTTGACAGCACAGATAGATAGATAGATCGATAGATGATAGATAGATAGATAGATAGATAGATGATAGATCGATAGATATAGTTAAAAATCAAACAATTATATAATTATATAGTAAACAGATAAAAACGACAGTGATAGAACAATACAACCATAGAATGATAGACAGAAAGAACAATGGATATAATGCTAGATAGAACAATATATAGAAAAATAGATATAGATAGATATAAATGTTTTATCTATCTATCTATCTATCTATCTATCTACCTATCTATCTATCTATCTATCTATCTATCTATCTATCTATCTATATTTTTGATTTGTTTACATTCAAATGAATAAAATATAAATTAAACCAAAAAAAGTGTCAAATTTAAGAACAGATAGGCAATTAATAAACTAAAATAAACAATAAATGAATGAATGAATAAACAAATAAATAAATAATAAATGGGTAGGTAGAAAGGTAGGTAAATAATATTTAAAAAGTATATACAACTACAAAAATGTATTAATATATAAATAAGTAAATGAATAAATGAAATAAAACAGAATTAAATTACATAAAAAATTAAATAAAAATATAAAATAAGAATGTCCAAAAAATGCCTTTTGTCGGGTTCTTACCAAAGTATTCGTTCAGGAAGGCGAGGGAAGCGAGGTAGCAGCCAAGACTGATAAGTTCGGCTACAACCATCAGCCAGTGCCAGGTGCGGACCGTCAGCGCCACCATCAGCAGCTCCGTCAGGATCAGAGCAGTGAAGGAGATCGCCACCACATGCACAAACTCCTGATCGAACAGCACCAGGGCCCCGTACATCAGGATGCCCCCTGGTGGACAAACAGGGGAAACGTTTGAGATGAACCACCAAGGACTGAGATAAAGTTGTCAGTTTAGTGTTATAATGAGTATAAACACATGTGCCTGAAACACATTAGTAGTTAACAAATTAAACAGGGGAACAACGATAAAAAAAACAGATCCGCTAGGGTCATTTAGACTGCAAGACCTGACAAATCCATAAGGTTTACTGATGTCCATCTAGAACGAGTTTCTTCAGTGATTTCTTGACCCTCGCTCACAGTCTGATCCCCATTCACACATGAGCGCGTTGAGCTCTGACCTCTGTTCGCGAGGCACCACGCTCACTCGGCTCCTCAGCCTACTGTAACCGTCTCTGCTTTCATTTTAATCATAAACGCCAGCACAATCCAGCCTAATGGCCTCTAACTGATCACATAATTGCCTCTCTTCATACAGCGAACATTCCTCGGGGTTACTCTCTGGACTAAATGAAATCTTTGCTCATATTTCCCTGTTGTTCTTGTCTCGCTGTATTAAGGTTTAATTAAAAAGCAGGAGCTGTCAGACGGGGATACTGATCTCTCTTGCTCACTGCGCGGATCGATTTACAGTGCGGATAAGGCAGCCGTGTGAGAGCTGGCGATGGTCCGAAAATCACATTCATGAAAAGAGCTCCACTGAATTCACGGGAGACAAGTTACATTCCGCTTCAATGTTTACTTCTTTGATGAAATGTTCAGAGTTTATTTGTAGAGAACGTCTCTTTATGGTTAGTTTATAGATGTCATGTTATCTCAGATTGGATTGGTTTTTTTCACGTTTACATTTCCCTTACGTTTGTTCAGTAAATTTTTACTTTAGACAATCCCTCTGGATCAACCGAGGCACAATGGTAACTCGTGAATCACTCCTCCTGAGGTTCCAACCGAATTCTAAAAGATGTGTCTAAGCCTTTTTAAAAAAATATTTTCTGCAGTATTACACCAGCATAATATACAGAGAAAACTACAAAATTTGTTTTTACTATAAAAAGAGACCCTGTTGGCTGGCTGCTTAAAAATAAATATTATTTTTGCCATTCCATTTGATAAATATCGGGTTACAGAAATTACACACTTTACCATTAACCATCAGGTTAGTTCATTTTTACCTGATTGTTTCAATTCTAATGCAATTATTTACTAAACTGTGTGATGCATTATAAAAATCAGAAATTTGTTCTGATTTGTTCATGTTTTTTAAAGAAGTCTCTTACGTTCACCAAGACTGCAGTTATTTAATCAAAAAATACAGTAAAAACAATATTGTAAATATTATTACAATTTAAAAAGAGTTTTCTATTTTTATATATTTTAAAATATAATTTATTCCTGTGATGGCAAAGCTAAATTTGAAAGCAGCCATTACTCCAGTCTTAAGTGTCACATGATCATTCAGAAATCATTCTAATATGCTGCTTTGGTGGTAAAGAAAGATTTCTTCTTATTATAAATGCTGAGAACAGATGTGCTACTTCATATTTTTGTGGGAATACATGATTTGTTTCTATTGATAAATAGATGGAAAAAAAAAAAAAAGGAATTAAAATATTAGAACTGAATCTGAAATTAAAATGTACTGTCATTTTTGATGAGTTTAATGCATCCGTGCTGAATAGAAGCATACAAAAAACATAAAATAAATAACAGGGTATATACAGGAATCATGGAGTTAAATTTAATACCTTTTAAGACCTTTTTTAAGACTCTTTCCATACATATTAAGACCTCATCGCCACTCCAAATTTTAACTGGTTACATCAGCGACACTTTAAATTACATTTACTATATATTGATTGTAAGATAGCACAACTAAACAGACTTACTTTATGATAACTCCTTATCAATACAACATAATTCAGAAGGGGGGAACGAAGCACAAGAGAATTAATTGAGTGACTAACCAATACAACCCAAGAAACAAGAATTAGACTAATAAACAAAACAACTGACAAAACTTGTTGAGGAGGGAAAATAAAAATAAAGCTATCTGAGCTAAAGGGGCAATGAGTTCAAAGTTAATTAATTGAGTGACTAACTAATGCAACCCAAGAAACAAGAATTAGACTAATAAACAAAACAACTGACAAAACTTGTTGAGGAGGGAAAATAAAAATAAAGCTATCTGAGCTAAAGGGGCAATGAGTTCACACAGTATATTCAAAAGATGTATTTGTCACATTAACTCTTATAACTGTCTGCAAACCATAGCTGTTTTGTGGAACACTTGGAAAATCAACCCATGGCAACAGTTTAAAAGCAGCCCAATTTCGTGGAAAAAAACAACAACAACCCTGCATCCAACACGAGCTGCAGAAGTCAGATTTGACTGATCACAGGTCAAAAGTAAGGAGAGATAATTGACAAGATGTTGGAGGATTTGTTCCTCAACAGATCCCGAGCTCATTGACAAATATCTTTTATCGTAAATTGTGCTCCCTTTACACAGTGTGCGCGCGATCACGAAATCGAAAGTGAAAGTGAACTGCGACTGCGAGCGCTCATTCAAAATACCCCAGATATTGATAGCGCCGCCCTGATGCGCAAAAATTATATAAAATATTAGAATGTTTGCGGGAGCGGACACAAAAATTGCGGGAGCGGATGGGAGCATGCTATAATGGTCAGAAATTCAGCGAGAGCGGGATAAACAAGCCCCGCGCTATCACGCAGCGGCGCAGTCAGTCAGTGAGCGCCGTAACAGATGACGTCAAATCTTGCGGGATTCCATAAATAAACTACGCAGAACCCCACTATTCAGACAAATATACATAATGAAAAGATGATAAAAAATTTAATACCTTGGAAAATGGCATTTAAGACTTTTTAATACTTTTTAAGGGCCTTCATTTTCTCTAAATTGATTTATCAACTTTTAATACTTTTTAAGACCGCCGGGCTCATCATGGGGCTGCACGGTCCGGAGCTCTGTATGACAGATGAAACGTTATCCGTTTAATTTAAATTTACTCCAAATATACGAACTTACCTGTTTTAAATACTTTATATTTAACGTGTTCGTTTATGTCCAATATTTAGTGTTTAACTGTTGGTATTTAAAATAAATCTACTTTTGATTTTCACCGTTGACTGATTTTGCAGACCTTTTAGACTGATAACTTCCATGCATCAATGCGGCAAACTTGCTGTATCCGAATATATATATATATATATATATATATATATATGCTAGCTGTTTTAAATATTTTTGTATTTAACATGTTAGTTTATCAGTATGTTTGAAAGTATATTATTTAGATTCGTGGTGCTTCCATAGGCTCCCTCTCTCTCGCGCGTGCTGTTTAAAACACCAAATAGTTATGAAATAGCCTATGACAAGTACAGAGAGTCTCTCTCTTGCCCCCACCCACCCATGCACGATAATATCGTCTATCGGCGATCTCACGGACTGGCGATATGACACTAAGTCACATTTTCACATTCAGTGCAGCTAGATCATCCCCCCCCCCAAAAAAAACCTTTGATGAGAGTAAAGGTTATTTGAGAGTTACAGTTTACAGTCATACAAAAATATAAAACATCGCTGTTCATTTACCTTGATATACACTTATCAAAACCCAGATCAGGAAGGTCTTAAAGGACAGGGAGCGACCCTAGTGGAGGGAAAACCAAAGTCAGCATCACTGTCATGCAGCAAACAAACTCATGCCTTCATTCCTGTAACTTATATCAAGTGTATCATGCAGATACTCGAGCTGATGGTTAGCTCTGATCAAGTCTGCTATGTTGTTACCTTGGTGAGGTCTTTATAGAGTTCAGGATACAGCAGAGCCATCTCAGGCTTCACATCCTGGTCCAACACCAGAGAAAAGACAGGGAACATGGTGTAGATGGTGGCGTAACTAGAAACAAATAGACATAATGTTAGGAAATGTGACACATCATGTTCAAAGGCACCTATGATGTCCAAAATCACGGTGTAGGTAGGCAGCTCACAAGTTTTGTGTGAACCAGCCTTTACTTACCCCACCATGAGGAAACCTTGGTACAGAGGAACAGATGCGAAGTAGAAAATAGAGGAGAAAACAGCCTGAGAGGAAAGACACAAATTCAAATCAAGATGTTAGCACTTCAAATCAAGATGCTGCACAGCAGCAACATAATATGTTGATCTTTGTGTTGAGAGAAAACCGATTTACTGTAATGACTCTGGGCACTATATCACTACAGAAGTGGAAATTTACTGTACATGTGGCTCTTCACACTGTGTATGTTACCTGCATGGTGGAGATGATCATGCCACGGTGCATGACAAACTGGCCCAGAGCTGCTGAGCGTTTGTAGCTGTTGTGGCCGTGTACCATCAGCAGTCTGCCAATGTGTTTGAACTGGGTTATGGAGAAATCTGCTGCCAGAGACGCCTGCTTTCCCTCCTGAAACAATAGGTAAGATATATACACACACACACACACACACACACACGCACACGTGTGTGTATATATATATATATAATTTTTTTAATAATTAAAAGGCAAATAATATTTGCCTTTATGATGACACAAAGTAAATTTTGTAAATATTTGATCAATTTTATATAATAAAAATTATATTAATATAATACAATTATATAAACATCAATATTAAAATTAATCCTTAAATTATAATGTTTAATATTATCAATATTGCAACAATATTACATTTAATAATATTGAATATAAAAACATACTGTATTACAGTAGTGAGAATCTAGCAAGAGTTTCAGCAATTAGGGTAAAGGGAATTACACACAAAAAATTAAACACCTACACATTCTGTTACTGAGAATTTTTTTTGTGAGGAAAAAATAATTCATTAAAAGTGACAGGAAAAGAATCTACGTTAATGAGAAACACCTCACCTTCCCTTCAATACCGATACCGCAGTCTGCTGCTTGGATCATGCTGACATCATTTCCTCCATCACCTGAGCACAGAGATAAGAAAGATGATAGCGGGAAAACATGAGAAGACACTGTGAAGACAGTCATCTTTACCGCTCTCAAAGATTCATGTGCTTGGAGAGAGTTCAGTTTAAGTGGGTTTTGTCTCAGCGACTGGATGATGGGACTTAAAGCTCAACAGACTGAGGAGAGAAGTGGAGAGGACTGACCTATGGCACATGTTCTGTTGTCTGTATGCTGCTGTAACAATCGAACGATCTGAGCTTTCTGCGTGGGAGAGCAGCGACAGCAAACCACAGCGGGGCACTGACACGCCAGCTCCACAAATTCATGCTCGTAGTAGCGCAGACAGACCTGATGGGCCACACATAATCAGTGTGCGAAAGTCAAACCTGATCATACATGATTTTGTTGAATATATGGAAAGTCAAGCTTTTTTTTTTTTACCTCTAGAGAGTCTCCTGAGATGACCAGCGCACAGTCGTGCTTCCTCCTGAAGGCGTTCAGCTCCAGATGAGCCTCGCCCCTGTTGGACACCTGCCACAAAAACATCATAAAGCATTCACACTAATTCCACTTAAAAATCCAAATAACCAGTGGTTCTGATCCTACCGGTTTGAAAACGTGGATGTCTTGATTTCTAGAAACTAAGTGGGAACTTTTGGCGATACACGTAGCAGTTTCCAGCTTGTCTCCGGTCAACATCCAGATCTGAAACATGAAGAAGAACCCAAGAGTTAACATTAAATGCCCAATATGCATAATATTGGCATGGTGTTTGGGTGTTCACATATTTTTGGCCACATATTGCATGTGTACCTTGATCCCTGCATTGCGGAGGAGCTCTAGTGTGGGCCGGACATCGGCCTGCAGCTGATCTTCCACTCCAGTGAGACACAGAAGCTCCATCTCTCTCTCCAGACTCTCCACCACTGCTGCCACCTTCAGAGCGCGATCATGGACACTCAACTTCGCCTGGTTATATCGACTCTGAAAAGACAGAAATAGATCAAATGTGTGCTAAGTTATGAGGATTTTAAACTTGCCTTGATTCAGTAGCGAAAATGGCGTTACTGTTGGTTAATTTGATTAGAGTTGCTTATATAAATCAGTTCAAACCGACCATTTCAATTAATCAGTTCCAAACTCTGATTCAATGATTTGTTTGTAACATCAACATAATCGTTCAAAGAGGTTTCCAAGTGACATTTTTCATACTGTATATTAAATGGTCTTGAAAATGTCCTGTAAAAAATGTTGTTTATTACAAATTACACTACTGTTCATAGGATTAGGGTTGGCGACATTTTTTCTTTGAAAGAAATTAATACATTTATTCAGCAAGGATGCATTAAATTGATCAAAAGTGTCAGTAAAGACATTCATAATATTAAAAAAAATCTATTTCAAATAAACTCTGTTCTTTTAAACTTTCCAAAATATTAAGCAACAGTTTTCAATCTTCCTTGAGCACCAAATCATAAATACAATGAATAAAATCAGGATATAACGAAATAATAACTGATGAAAATTCTGCTTTGCCATCACAAGAATACATTAAATTTTAAGATAAATTAAAATAGAATACAGCTAATATTTCACAATATTACTGTTTTTACGGCATTTTTTCAGCCATGGTGAGCATAAGAAACCTTTCAAAAACATTACAAATTTTTACAGCCCCCATTTTTACAGTGCATGTGTCGACCTCTTGCATTCACGCATGCGTTCGACTGTACACATACACTAGTGTGCACGTACAAAAAAAGTAGTATACTTTGGGCTTAACAGACGGACTCCAAAAAATACCTTTGAATATGTCATTTAATCACAGGTGGGAGGACCTCATACCAATCACAGAGAATCCCACCGACAAAAAGAGTACAACAGTTTATATAGAATAGGTGCATGGCAAAGTTGACATGATCTTACATCATTTTTCTCTGTTTATAACTGGTTCTTCATATGTGCAAGAACCACCCCACCCCCACCCGTTACTGGCAAACCAAATTTGGGTTTTGATTACTTCAGCTTGTTACTCAAGTCATGGGGTTGTTATGGTTATTATTATTTACAGACAGACGTCTAGCCGCCTTGTCCAAATGCATCCATTATTGCAACACGCTAACTTTGGCCCAAGTGTTGGGGACATCAAATGAATTTGACATGCTTATGTGTTTTATCCAAATATAAGACTTGCAATAAATAAAGTAGTCACTGGTAACATAAGTTTAAGAAATTAATTAATTAGAAATTAGAAAGAAATCAGCGATCTAATGCCACCTGTTATCTCTCAAAATTTTCATGCTAACCAATAATTGTATTCCTTCCATCAACATCCTAATGGAATGACAATATACAGTAACCAATTTTATCAGATACACATATCATCTTCTGTCAACATTTTATCCAGACCAGAACCATTCTATTTTTAGACTGCACAATAAAAAAATCCCATTATTTTCACAGATTCAAGAATTTGTTTTTTAAGCAATGGAAAATTAAAGAAACTAAAAACCCCAGAGTAAATTACATTTTATCTACAGTAGACCTTTTACAGAGTCAATTTTTAGTATTATCATCTTTTGGGTTCAAGGGTCATACTGGTCTATTAGGAAATAAGCAAGTTGATATTGCTGCAAAGGAAGCTATCAGTTTGGGTACAGAATGTTAAATATTTCTCAAGAGATAATTTTAATGATCTTTTATTGCATTGTATTTATTACACAATTTTTTTTAGATCTATTTGTCAACAATGGCATTTTGCTTAAAAATAATGGTTCCTCTGTTGGAGTACAAAAATGACAACTTTACACCAAAATATTAAAAAGTTGAAAATTGTCAAGGTACATAATATATATGCAAAACGTGCAGTGTTGGGGTGCCTCCAGGACCAGGGCTGGGAACCACTGTTTTAAACTATATCACTACATATTAACCCATTTGTGAATTGGTATATCATACCTCAAAGTCCTGGTATTGCTCTTCAGTCAGTGCTTTCTTAGCCACCACCAGTGTCCGCAGGCCCTCTCTGGCCATGTTCCCACACTGAATCAACACAATGCAACACACAACTACAATTACATCAGCTACAGCCATGACGTGTGAGTGTGTGTGGTTGTGTATTAGACTGTGAACTCAATTGGTATACAGAAAGCATGAGAACAAAGATATAAACAATGCTTTTAACACAATTGTATTTACTGGAAACATCAAAACAGTGCCATGCAAATAGAGATATGCAAACACACACACGCACAGGAAGAATCAATCGTGAAAAATACAACAGTGCCTGTGGGAATCTTTGAGCAGACTGTAAAAGATGTGGGACAGCGGTTTAATTTTGATATGAAAATCCAACAGGCGAAAGTGATGCAGTGATTACTTATTGACCTGTCCTTATAGCAGCGTCTCACATGCACACACAAAGCGCACCGATGAGGATTATGGCATGATGCTCCTAGTCATAAGCCTTTATTGAGGTCATTCATTAATTAATAAGCCTCATCTCCGCCCCTCATCGACTGCATATTGCCAATACAATTATAATCATCAAAGCGAGAAATGCATGTGTGATGATGGGCTGAGCAGATTGTCCTTGATCACAGAGGCTAGGACAGGCCAACCTGTTTGTTATGCTTAGCGCTACCTTATCAAACGTGTTGATTCTTAATTCAATCGGGATCTGTTCATAAAGACACTCCTACTAGGGATTCAATACCAAAAACACTGGCGGTACCTACTGAGGAAGTCAGTTGGAATGACAGACATACGGGAACTGGGGCTAAGACGCCCCATTCACACGGGGCGTCAGCGTCAACGCCTCTCATTTACTTTGAACGGAGTGACGTCAAGCGTTGGCGAAATGAATTGTGGGTCCGTCGCGTCACGTTGGGTCCATTGCTCGCGGCAGAAGTTGAAAACCTTTCAACTTTTCAAGCGCCAACGCAGGCATCAGCCAGTCAGATCGCCTTATGCAAATACTCTAGTGCAGATGCTAGCCAATCGCGTTCATGCAACACCAGAAGACTAATGTGATTGGCTGTTGTCACTATGACGGTCCAACCAAGCTTCAGCACCAAGCTTCAGAAACGCCCTCCGTCAAGCGTTAACGCTGACGCCCCGTGTGAATGGGGCGTTAGTCATCATATACTAGCCAAATACTCGTTTATACTTTAAATTTATAACTGTAATATGTATATATTATACACTACTGTTCAGAAGTTTGGAGATCACCAAGGCTGAATATATTTGATAAAAAATACAGTAAATACAGTACAACTTTAAAATATTTTAATTATGTTTTCTATTTTAGTAATTTATTGCTGTGATGGCAAATCTGAACTTTCAGCAGCCATTACTTTAGTCTTAAGTGTCACATGATCTGTTGATTTGGTTCTCAAGAAACATTATTATCAATGTTAAAAAAGGTTGCTTAATGCTTAATATTTTTGTGGAAACAATACATTTTTTTCTTTTTACAGGATTCTTTGATCAATACTAACAAAAGCATTTTTGTTTTAAAAATACAAACGTTTTGTAGCATTATAAAATGTTTATTTTTTTTCTCCTATCAGAATTCTTTACTTAATAGAAAGTTTAAAAGAACAGCATTTATTTGAAATATAAATATTTTATAACAACATCATTTTATTGTCACTTTTGATCAATTTAATGCATCCTTGCAAAATAAAAGTATTAATTCCTTAAAAAAAAATCCTATTGGACCCCAAACGTTTGAACAGTAGTGCAAGTATATAACTTGCAATATGTATCACAATATGTAAAAATGGTTAGATATTTTCTTACATTATGTTTTCTTAGTTTTGTGTGTCATAACTGCTATATTGTTAAAATTTTACTGAAAATGTAAAAACTAACACCAGTCAACACTACACCAAAATTTGTGAGACTTACTCAATCTGGTGACATTTTTCCTATTCTTTTAGTTTTTGCATGGATAAATTACATTTGAGAACAAATATAAAGGTACTGCGTTTATTTGTATTGTGTTTACTGTCATTTGACACACACACAAAGACAGATTATGAATCGGATACAAAAACAATTAAAAATGCAAATAAACAAAACAAAAAACAAAACAATAGAAGGGTCACAGAAACAGACAATTAGATTTATTCATAAGCTCACCAACCCACACGAAAAAGCAGAATTTCCCATCAACAATGGTTCATGCATTCTTACCTCCTCCTCCAGCCAATCATTGTACTGTACAATGCTCGCCATAGCAACATCAGCCCCTTTCATGTAAAACGTGATGTCGCCCGTAGCCTCCTCCTGAAACACAATCAATTCAACAGAGAACACTTAAAAACATATCCAAATCATGTCTAAATCATTAGCATGTCCAACTGTAGAGCACAAAACCACACAGATGGCGCGTGGAGCCCTAAAGTTATCAGTAAATAAGACGACAAACAGAGTATGACAAACACACAAACGCATGTCAAAAGCTTAGCCAACAATACTTTTATGCATGTACTGTACAACACGACACACTCACAGAAACACTCAAGTACACAGAGTCCTGAAGTATCTACTGTAATAGCTTACTCAACAAAGGCTAAAGGACACAAAGCCACACTACAGAGGAAACATGTTCAAATGTGCACACATTTTCAAACTCATATTCTCACCAGATGTTTTTTACACTGTTTGAAATGAGAGAAATATGTAATTCCGAACACAGACAAACACACTCGCACACTTGTTATGTGACACGCACCCTGACAATAATGCCCATGCGCTTGCTCTCAGAGGTGAAGGGGAAGATCTGGAGGATGTAATAGGTCAAGATGTGTCCGGCTGGGGTCTTCAGCTGGAGGGACGTCAGGTCTCTGTTCACCAGAGTCAAACCCACACTCTCAGTCCAGCGCACCAGAGCCACCTACACAACATGTGAAAGAATGTCTTGTTGTAAAAGATCTGTTTTTGTGACTAGTTACATTCAACTTTTTGCTCTCAATGATCAAATCATCTTTAAAGAGCTGACAAACAAAAAAAAAAAAGTCACATTTAAAGTCACAATCTACACTAGGTCTAGGTAATGAAGTTTCTGAAAATCCAATTTGAGCCACTGATCATGTGAATTCTTGTACAGTCAAATTGTCGTTACCACTGGAGCACGAGATTCTGTTTGGATCATTCTCAAATCATGCTTGACAGTCAGTAAAACCAAACCAAATACTGAGACATTCCAAAATTCATGTTAATAATTAAACTTTCTACTCTAGCTAAAATATGCTGGTAATATAGAGTTATGCCGATAATAGAATTTATAAAAAATGCTGCATGGAATTAGAAAAGATTGTAATAAATTATATCAAATCTTGTTCAGTTGTGTCTCAGACTTCTTGACCCCCATTGCATGCACTGTTTATCTCAAGACTGAAAGATCATAAACATCCCTGCAAATTATGCCTTTAAATTACTCCACAGCTCTGATTACAACTGCTTTCTTTGCTCTTACACACATCAGAACACAGCTAGAACTCGTTTATGGCATTTCAATGTGATATGACTAATTAGTCAGTCTTCTATCAACCTGACAGTGCTAAATGATGCCCTCAAGAGCACACACACACACACACACACACACACACACACAAGTAACTCAGGTGGTGGGGAAATGCCTTCAGGAGAGGCGCAGGGAACTGTTTTACGACACAGGGGAGAGCCTTTAATACACTCTATCAATCATTTCAGCAGTACAGAAAGAAAAGCTGTAATCATAAACCAAGATCACTGCGCCTTCAAGAAGCAGAGAGGATTGAACCCGCACCATGTGACCTACGACCACATGAAGACGTGGCTGTTATTTAATAAAGAGACCAGATGTGACAGGAAATATGATACAACGTCATAAAGAAGGCAAAGTGGAGATGGGTTTATCTGACAGAGCAGTTTCTTCCAGGAATATGCTAAGAGAAGTTTATCTGAATTCTATCTTTCACTTATCGTTATTATAACAGTATATTATTTTACACTTTTTGAGCAATGACTTTTCCAGCCGTTTGATTACTGGCTTTAAAAAAAAAAAACTTTCTAGAGATTGCACTCACAAAGAATTATTATTATTATTATTTTTTTTACAAATTCAATATTTTAGAGTTGAGCATAACTAAGAACAATTATACTGACTACAGAAATTTCCATTTTTTTTTATTATAAATGATTAAATATTGTTATTAATTATTAAAATATCTAGGCCTGGAAATAACGATTGTAAAATTCATATTTAGTTTTAAAATTCATATTACAATATGAACTTACTTAAAAATATTTGACTGGATCACTCTATTAATCAAAACCAGACTAAGATTGCATCCGCTTTAACCTTATTCTAACAAAAAACTCATTCTAAAAGAATTGAACATGCCATAACTCTCTTGTACGAGTAGCCCATCTTTTGTGACAACTTCTATTTAATAGGGTAAAGGTTAGAGGTCAATACTATATTTTTCTTAGAAGAAGCAAAGGTCAACAGCCACTGAACACTGTCGTCTCATCTGAATAAGCCAAAACCACTAATAAAACCATCAGTGAACTTCTATTACACCCCATAAGTAAAACTTCATTATCGGACATAACAAACGGTCTTGCTCATGAGAATGTCCGATCATTAAACCTCTGACCCTTGACACTGTGGGGTCAAAGGTCACAAATGACTTAAAGTAAGTGTCCGGAAAGGCAATCCCTGAACTCGGCTCTCTTTAGGAATATTATCACTATGCGCCTGTCATATTAAAAGCTGAAAAGGCTGGAGGTCTTTGAGTGAGCACACATAGACACAGGCGCTGATGAGAGTGACACGTAGAGAAAGACTAGTGTTAACCGCTAGTCTCTCAGAGAAAATTAAATATTGATCAATCCCGGAGTGAAGACGTTGGAGAGATAAGACCTGGGCATTAAAGAAAATAAATAAGTAGACACATCAAGGGAGAAGAGAGGACAGGCAATTCCACTAAAGAGGGAGATGGACAGATTTCTTTTTCCTTTTATCACTCTCAAAAGATATCTACGTCTACAGAAGGTCTTGAAGAAAAAGATGCTCGGTCTGTGTAAAGGAAAAATGAAAGAGCACCGGAATATTTTCAATTTATATAATGACTGGCGCATTTTCTTGAAAACAATCAATGCTTTGAAAACAACTGCCCTTCATTAGTTCATCTTCATTAGATCCTGCAAGGGAACAGCAAACACTGTACAGAATTATTGAACACTTAAAGGGTTAGTTCACCTAAACATACAAATGTTGTCATCATTTACTTATTTACCCATGTCGTTCAAAACGGATATGGTTTTCTTTCTTCTGTAGACAACAAAAAATAAATGCTCCACAAACTGTAAAGCTTGTAATTCCTATGGATTATATGGTCATTTTTGGAGACTTTCATTGTATGATGAAAAGCAATGCCAAAAATTCTTCTAAGCTTCATCTTTTGTGCTCGACAGAAGAAAGAAAGTCATACAGGTTTGGAAGATTACGAGTAATCGATGACAGAAATGTCATTTTTGGTTAAATTATACCTCCAACGAGCCTCAAACAACATTTCATTCCCCTCCATTAAAAAATATATTTAACTATAATGAGCCTGACGTTTCCCTCCATCTATTTGAGGACCGCTGCCTTTGTGACATATGTTTGGCCTCAATGCCTTTTCTGCCATTTATTTAGTGCTTTTCTTACCAACAACTCATTCAAAATATTGTTGCTCTACAACAGATCTATAAATATCTACGATCTCTCAACACAAATGATGACCGAGTCCTTCCTGGTGTGTGACCTACCCCTGCCCCCTCTGCTTCTGATATTTATTGAGCCCTCTCAGATTTCTCTACTAACACAGAGTCTATATTACCATCCAATAAGGCAGTAAATTCAAGGCTAAAGTGGGGGAGTCATAAATACTAAAGCAGCGATATATAGGATTACACTGTTAGAGGAATGAGGAGACCAGTGTCATTGCAATCTATCTGATTTCTAAATAAAATAAATAGAAAAAAAAAATTGTCCTGTTTTTTTTTTTTTTTTTGCTGGAACCACCCAAGCAGAAAATTACAAAAATAAAAAATAAAAGATGACAAAAAATGTCCCAAAATAATATTTTTTAAATAATTTTGATTAAGCAAATAAATAAATACCATTCCTTTCAGGACGTCCCATGGTGATTAGTAGTAAATCTCCAGCACGTGCTTTCAGATGGAGCAGCGTTTACTACACAGAGCCGTAGTTCACAGACAAGCTACGCAAAATCGCGTTCATAATCGCGCGATTATGAAATCGAAGAAATCGTTCTGAGATTATGAAAGCTGTTTGCGTAGCTTGTCAGTGAACTACGGCTCTGTGTAGTAAATGCTCCTCCAACTGAAAGCATGTGAAAATACCAAATTTAATTGCATGTTTTTAACTCCAAACTCACTTCATAACGTCAGTCTGACGTCAGTTTGAAATAAATCCTTCTGTGAGATGATGTGGCTTCTTACACAGAATAAGGCACGCAACATATTTCATAGTATTCTAAGCAGTGATAAAGGCTATGTCGATTAGCATTGCATTATTATATACTTTATTATAATAAAAATGATAATAAGATGAACTCTGATAAATCATATATTGTTGTAGTCGTGCGTTTATTAGACACGTTGAATTAATGAAAGCAGTTAAATCTTCTGTTTATTCAGCAACCACTATAGGGATTTCCTGGGTTTCTTCTGTGAGGCATATTTGGAGTTTCAGCACGAGAGCTCCCTCTGGCCTTCGGATTAGGGATGTTCATTTTAACCGTTTAACCGACCGTATAGAATTTTGACCGATTAATACAATCAGTTAAACGGTTTAAAAGGTAATTTCTTTCTTTATTTTTTCAGAAATGTATCAAAATATTTTAAAAGATTTGCTGCATGGTTAAAATACACTACGCGTATAAAAAAAAAATTTTTTTAGGGGAAAAAAAACATAAGTCGCGTATAAGTCACATTTGATTATTTAATTCAGAAATAGGCCTAATGCCGACGCGAAATGTTTACAAACATTATAATAAACACTGTAAACATAGCTAGGCTATTTTAATTCCCCTCACTCCACAACAAAGCCTTTCAATTAACAGTATTTAGAAAAGAACAAGAATTAAAAATGTAAGAAGCTATAGCAACATAAATGACAAGCCAAAACGAATTCATTTAGGCTAAAACAAAACTGAAACCAACATTGGGTCTCTCATTCGACACAAAATCAAATGTTTCCGTATTCGCGATGTATTTGAATAGCAAATTATTATTTATTATGTAGCCTGGCCTACTTCACTCGCATTCCAATATCTACGTAAAACAAAATGTTTTGCATAACATCACAGCGGTACAGTGTTTTTTTCCCCATATGTTTGACTGACTGTATTTTATTATGATAATGAACAGGCTGCATTGTCAAGGTAGCAATGCTTAACTGTGCGCGTGCATGCGGCACCGGCGCAATCACTTGAATTTTGTCTTATCTGACTAATCTGAGGTCAATAACATCAAGCTGGGAAATCTGTTTTCAGTCTCCAACGAGTACAGAACCCTGGTGCTTTCTGAGATACTCGGCTGACATTAGATAAACACATTGTCTAATTTAATTCAATTCTTGAATTAACGGTTAACGGTTAATAATCGGTTAATGAGCGTCGGTTGTCGGTTAAGAAAAATAACCGAAATGAACATCCCTACTTCGGATAGAGATTTACTGCTGATCACAGAACTGTGCTTCACTGAAAGATACACATGACAATCGCAGCTTCTGCCTAATCGAGATTTATCGCCTTTGCGATTTAATTTTAATTAATCGTGCAGCCTTACGTCCCATCATTCTTACATCATCAGGACTGGAGGCCTGGTAAGTGCGGTTGTCGTCGCTAAAGTCCTGGTCGGCCTCTGTGCTCTCTGGCTCTGCGCTGGCACCGTTAACACGGGATTCGTACACTGGTGTAACGTTGTGGCAGAGGGCGATGGCTTTCACGGCCTTGTGGATCCGGCTACTCACGCTCTTGCGGACCTTCGGAGCGGGCGGCTGTGATTTACAAGAGGGTGTTGAACTCGCACTATTGCCATTAGACTGCACCGAGCTCACCTGGAGAGACACAAAGTTGAAATAATAAGAGTGCGCTTTAGCTTGAGAAATGACATTTGTTATTAGAAATATTTGTTTAAAAAAAGTATTCAGTTCAACACATTTAAAAATCAGTTAAATGATGAAGTTATGTCATAATCTGATAACGTCGTCATGTGTAGTATAAGAACGGGGGACTGGTCAGGAAGTGTATACTGATAATTAATTTTCCTGTGCTCTCTCAGTGTCAGGACCCATTGGGCAAAAAAAAAAGCGTGAAGATTTCATCAGTGTCTCCCCACACAACGACGTCGAAATCCCACCCTGACTCTGAAACTTATCAATTTACATAAGCACCACTGTGAGTCTTCGTGTGTGTGTGTGTGTGCTTGACAGGGGTTGCTGTGCTCCACTGGAGCAGGAGATTTCTCTTGATGAACTCCTCTTTCCTCAGAGCTTTGCCGAGGGGAAGAGATGACAACCTGCACACAGCCTTCAAACTGCAGATGAAGGTACATAAAAACACCCCACTGCTGGCTCACTCTCTCAGAATTAAAGTATGTTAGGCTCCTGATTTGACAATCTGAATATGTATATAAAAATACAGTAAATGTGTAATAAGATATATGCACAGTTAGACAGTTGTAAATAGGCATGTCATATTGACTGGAGTTAAAAATGCCCCTTAATTATTACATTTATATTCTATTTGCTGTCATGTAACACTGACTTAATCTTTAAAAACATTAATTTAATAATATTAACTATAATCTCAAAATGAATATCTATTTTTATAATATACATTATAAATGCTGTGATGTCTAAATTCACTTGCAGAATTTAATTATCAGCTTTTTGGCATTATCAAGAATTTTAATATTGGTGTTCTCTATATATTTATATTTAGTAACATCATATTTATTATGCAAGAAAGAGAAGAACACAGCAAAAAAACTAGCACTGTGTAGGAAATCAGTCAGTTTTCAGTTTAAATCAAAAAGCATTTGAGTGACTAAATAACCAGAATTGGCAAAAAAAAAATTATATCTACAAATATACAACAGCATTTACATATACAGTTCTACACTACTCGAAGGTCCTGCTCCTCTCTGAATTTTCTCAAGTTCATATTAACTAAAGTTCAGTGCCACAAAAACAACACACCTGGCCTTTTAAGTTCAATTAATGGAAAAGCTAAGTTTAAAGCCACAACGCTATTAACTTCACCTTTACAGTACAATTTTATGGAAAATTAAGAATGCTATTATAGAGCCACAAAAAGCTTGTAAATTGAAGGTTTTAAACTGAACCACATCGTCTATATACGAATATCAAATTTTGACATTTCAAAACACAATTTGAGTTCAAAATCCCAGTTGGACAGGCAAGAACTGTCTGTACACTCACCCCGTCTCAAAAAAGACGATGGGGTTTGCCCTCTACAAAAAAACAGCTGTTTTTAATAGTAATTTCTTTATACTCCTAACACTCCAGAGAGAATGGGAGCTATAACTGCCTAGTGCACACCAAAGCATGTTAAGCTGTAAATTACATTATGTTTATTGATTCCTGTCAAACTCAATTTCACAAGTTGTTGGACACGGACTCTGACACGTCCTGAGGGGGGATATAATAAGGCTATGATCGCTCATATCATGGGTACATTTCAAACCTGCCTGCCAGTCCATCATCACAGTAATGAAGGACCATGAAGCATGAAAATCAATTGCCACTGTGGCTTTAACACTGTGTCACCCAGCTGTTGGCACAAAACGTGCACACACACACCAAAGACGACAGCAGTTAGTGAAGGATGTGAAACTCCTTAAGTTTCCTCTATAGTGAAAGCCATTGTCTTAATGGTGATGTATAAGGTGACACATGTCAATCACACCTGAGCATAGGACTGGATGATGTGACTCTGGATCTCATCCATAGTGTCCATCCCGTATGACACAGTACCGAGATGGAGGCGCTTGAAGACCATCTCGTTCTGGGTCAGAGTGCCTGGAAAAACAGCACACAAAGATTAAGATCAGGAGAGAAATCAATAGTTATTATAAAGCTTTTGGATGGGCAGAGTGGTTTCAACACAAAGAAAGAGGGAGAAAATAAAACAAGGAAGAGAATAGGATAAAATAAAATAGCATAAAATAAAATAAATAAAATAAAATAAAATAAAATAAAATAAAATAAAATAAAATAAAATAAAATAAAATAAAATAAAATAAAAGTACCTGTCTTGTCTGTAAGCAGGTAGACCAGACGGCCAAGTTCTTCTGGGATGGTGCTTGTCCGAACCACAGTACCTGGAATATTCTCATCCTTCATAATCATCCAGCCATACGCTGACTTCCCCATGTCCAGGTTTACTCTTAGACTATACACACACACACACACACACACACACACAAATGTCTAAAAAATATGTTTGTTCCTCTCATTTCACACTGCTGATGATTTTGCTGTAATATTTTCACATAAGTGTGATCTGGGTGATAATATTATAAACATACCTGATGGGGATGATGTATGAAAATAAAACCACGAAACGGAACAGGTTTCGGAACCAGGGCCCAAGGAATCCCTGCAAAGCCACCATAACAACAGACAGAACCACCTGAGCCAGGAACAGAGCTTTTGTTAGGCGGTTTAACTCCAGGTCCAATAGTCCCACCTGCAGAGGAAGAGATGAGAAAGTCTGAGATAAATCAAACTGAAAGTTTTTGTGTGCTTTAATAAGTGTTTAAACTTACATTTTAGTAAACAAGTAAGAGATAATGTAAATTCAGCTGGTCATTATCACTGTAAATCAACCTTTGAAGGTGTATTTTGCAATAAATATTGTCTGACTGTACATTATTATGAGTATAACATGGCTAGTATAACATGAAAATCTAATTTACGCATTTTATTTATCAATTTAAGTGTTTTATTATGTGAAAATAAACAAGCCATAATGTGATAGGTGAGTGAAACTAGCTTAGTCAATTATACATATGCCACTGACTAATCAGAATTAAGCACTTTAGTATTTTAAGAATAGTAAATACATTCAGAACTATATAGTAATGAATATTCCCAGGGAAACTTGTTTTTAATCATTTTTACTGGTTGTTTATAACGCACTCCAAAAAAAGTTCCCAAAATGAATGAGTATTTGGTTAAAGCGCTCTTATCCAAAGCATGCGATATCCCCTCTGAGAACAAGAACCTTGAGGGCTCCTCTCATCTGAAGTGATCCGAAATGTTACTCTTATGAAAAATAAAACAACCTGCCCATAAGCCAGCACTGATCAATGCCCCCCAGGCCTGTTCCAGACCGCAGACCTTTCTCATGCTAATAGTGTATGTGGAGGAGAGGAGAGATGAGAGGCATTTAACCAAGAAGCCCACTGCTGTTGTCATCTCTCTGTGAAAAGCACAGGAGGCAAAACCGGAAAAATAAAAGCAGAACGCCTCTTCATAGAAACGGCCCCTGACAAAAGAGCTGGAGTTTTCCCCTTTTTCTCTCAAGTATGTCCCCTCAGCCAATGGAATATGTGGGAAAATGATGTCAAAAAAGAAGTTTTTCTTGTTTCCCTCTGACGAGGGCCGACAGCGTGGCCTGCGCGAAAACACTGAGGTCTTTCATCTAGGCAGCGCGCTAATAAAAACAGCAACACATAACACCGTCCCCTGAGAAAAGGAATCTGCGTGAAAGGGATGGGGGAGGGGGAGAGAGGGGATGGACAAATTGAACAGAAAAGACAAAAAAAAAAATGCAAGCAAAATTAATCCCCCAACTGCCTACGGCCCCCAGTCCCTGGAGGACTGAGTAAACTGGGAGACACTGGGAGAGAAGAGCTGCTGTCTGATTTATCAGCTGTAGTTTAAAACCCCTCCGATGGCCTGCCGCCCCACTCCGAGCTTCATGCTTCAGCTAGTGAGGAAAAAGGGGGGAATGGAAGGATTAAAATGAAGAAAAATTAAGACAGAAGACATAGTTCCCCAGCTGAAAGGGAGGAATCCCCCTTTATGGGGGCAAAACAATGCGGAGGCTGAATTTTGCAAAGCTGGCCAGGGATCGGGTGAAGCTGTTATTCATTCAGCCCGAGAGGAAAAAGCGACTCAATTACCTCAAGCTGAAGATGCTATCAATGAATCGAGAGTGCATATTTTACTCTATTCATCCGGGCCTCGTTTAAAGTGAAAGGAATGATTCAACCTGCCATCGCTGCCTGTATGTTTTGTGTGTGAAATTTGATGACGACTTTGTGCCTGCATAATGAATATTCATTGGTTGAAATCCATTAAGTATACAGAGGCTGTTACAACAATATGGCATTATGCTAGTGTCCCAGAAACTGGATATGCAATACAGATAAATGGAACATGCCATCCACGGTGCAGGACCACAGACGAGGTCTTCAGAAGTTTCTTCACTTTACCAAACAAACTTATCAACTAAAATGATCAGACTTAAACTGAATATTCGAAAACTGTATCATATTCACAGCTTATGTGTCTCAAATATTTTATTCATTTTGGTCAATCACTGCATTCTTTGGTCAAATACTTTTATAAAACAACCACTAAACTGCATAATTGGCCATTGTCCCTGGCTAGCAATAACTTAATATTAACTTAATAATAAAAAAAATCTATATTTGATGTTCATTTATTAATTGTTTTGGTAAGCAGTGTTTAATGTCACACAGTTACAGCATTTCATAACTTGTTAAAGTTTTAAAGACATTTTGTCAGAGCTGTTGTTATTGCTCATATGTAAAGAGAGAGTTTGAATCTGAATTGTAATATTTTCCTCTTGCCACTCTCCTTCCAGGAACTTTGCGGGAAAAAATTTAAATAAATAAATACAATAAAATAAAATTTAAAAAAAAAATAAATAAATCCAACTGAGCTCTACATTGTTTATAAATAAAATACACGCATCTGAGTATCTGCATTGCTTAAAAATAAATAAATAAATAAAATAAAAAATCCAGCCAAACACCTGCACTGCTTAAATATATCAGTGATTATAACACCTAAAGTAGTGAGCAGTGTCTGGTCAGCGAAGAGGGTTGTTCAACCCTTTGTCACATCCTACAGACCACCAAGGTTTCGATCCTCAAAGAGAATATCGTTCCATATTACGACAATGACAGATACACACACACACGTGTAAAGTGATAAGTGATAGCTTATGTGCTGTCAGCAGCTTCTAGTGAGAGCTTAGAGCTTTGTGCAAGGAATGTCACAACAGATTATAAGAGGCGAAAACGTTCTCAGTGACTTTCGCCGAGTCGTATCGACTTTCTCACTGCGTCTCGTTCCCTGTATTGGCACCTCTGACATCATCTCCTTGAGATATTGAATTCCACTCTCACACACAGAACATGGTAGAGCTATGAGCTCCGCCAGAGCTGCTGCTATCACACACATCTTGCAGCATCCATGACAGGGTCTGAAACACTTCATGACATGAAGAATAGTGGTTAACCAATATGGGTTTCTCAGGTGGTTTTTGTGATGCTGATATCAAGCACACGGGCTGATAGCTAGCTAATTAAATGATGAACACAATTTAGATAAAAATTAAATGCACTTAATTAAATGATTAAATCCATTTAATAACATTTACTTCAACATTTACTCAAAAGTTGCTCAAAATATTTCAAACAGAAAATCCAAATTAAACATTAACAAATTTGACACTAGAGGGAGCCAAATGATATTGGCAAAATAATGATTGTTTTCATACAGGTTTCCCCAAACACTCTCCTCATCTGCCGTTGGCAAAAAACAGATACCAGATGTCAGGGTAATTGGGATGATTAAATAATGTTTACGCTTGAGAAAGAAATCAACCTACTATTAGATTATAGTTGACCTTGCATTTTAGACAAAATAAAAATATAATGAATAGGATACAGCATTTTATCATCCACAAAATTACACCTGATTTAAGACATTAACATCATACTGTTTTAAGACCAATCATGTCATGACAGAAAACAGAGCTGGGGAGATAAATCTATCATGGATTCAAACTGTTTTGGACATTGATAATAACATTTTTTTTTCTTGAGCACCAAATCAGCATGTTTCAATGATTACTGGAGGATCATGTGACATTTGACACTGGACTAATGGCTTCTGAAAAATTAGCTTTGCCCTCACAGGAATAAATCACTTTTTAAAATATATTAGAACAGAAAACAGTTATTTTAAATTGAAATAGTATTTCACAATATCACAGTTAAAGTGATACAGTATCACAGTACTGTATTTTTTATCAAATAAATGCAGCCTTGTTGAGCACAAGAGACTTCTTTTAAAAACATTACAAAATCTTATCGACCCCACATTTTTGAACAGCAGTGCACATACAAGTAGAACAGTGTCAGAGCTCTGAACCATGTGGATAAGTAAAAAAAAAAGAAGAAAAAAAGCCAAAGACAGCAGGGGTCAGTTAAGGGAGGGGTAATGAGTGTAATGGGATTTGACGTATTTAAGTTTACTTTTACAGCATTGACGTCCACTGTATCTAATCATTAAGGGGAATTCTGCAGGATTAAGGCTCTGCCACAAATGTCACGCAAGCCCTTGGTTGGTTAATTTCCCTCTAGATTAATCTCTCTGGGGTTGTCCTTTCACATCGACAGGTCCAAATTCGTCACTAAGATCAGGGCTGAAAACCACCCCAACGGTTCGCTATTTTTATTCGCTTCGTTTCAAGTCTATATTGAAAGGTTAAAGGGAAAAACAGTCTCTGGGCAATGTCTAGTGTGTATTGACTGCAAGATATCACAGCTCATACTTGTGTCATTAAATTGTGTTTTTTTTTTCTTCAAACAATTAGCCTTTGGGAGGAAAACTAATTAAAGAAACCAAGTATTTCATTTATAAACACAAACAACGACAAACAAACCCACCTTGTTTTTGGACTGCGACGTGTTTAGCACGCTTCTCATTTCTTTTCCAGTATATATGACCACACCTATGACAGTACCTGGAAAAAAAAAAAAAAAAAAAAAGGACAAATGGATGACTGATTGCAAACGGACGATGACAAATAAACCGGCCGTGTGTCTCTGGCCAGCCTAATGAACAATTAGCTCAAAAAGTGTGTTTCCAGTTAACGGATGCAGCTGAGACTCAAGACAAATGATTCAATATGTGGGACACCCAGAAATAAACCATTACAATGAGGCCTATTATAGTCAGATCAATGGTGCTGCTTTGGTAATGGACTGATTCATTAAAGTAAGCTAATTACTGATGGAGTATGCAGCCTCACCGCTAAACGAGGAAGTGGCGAAGTCCAACTTTTGTTTAAACACAGTAACACAATATAAAACGTGCTTAAATATTTCTCGATTTCTTTAAGCTCGACATATTGTTTCATGTTTGGAAAGCAATGAAACCTAGGCTGCCCTCAAGGGGGTCTTTAATGGGCTAGGACTACAGGGCATATCGGTTACTCGCCCCATGGTGTTTTGTGTTGGGTCTGCTCAGTTGGATGGGATGACGTCACCAGACTGTGTTTTGTGGGGAGATATGGAAGGACTTTCTCCGGCTGAAGGTCACACCATGGTGGGGAATAAGAAGAACCTCTAAAAACCCCTGGAGAACCAAGACAGGGGCAACCACAGATCAATGAAGGGCCGATCGCAGGCACAAACGCAGGCCGCTTGAAGGAATAGTCCGGCTATTATTGTTGGACTGGGATCAGATTCTAAACAACAGACCCCTAGGAGATGTCAGAGAAAGCGTAGTGGCAAAAACCGATCTCGGACCTGTTCTTTAGGGACACGTTTCATTGACACCGCAGGGACAGGACTGCAAAAAGCCAGACACTTTGGCTTCCCATTAACGGCTCCTCATATTTCTCTGCTCATGAGATTGTTTGAATAGTAGCAGATGAGTCTGGCGATCTCAAGTGACAAACAAACGGGAGAACGAAGGGGGTCTTGAGTGATGCTGGCGGATCGCCTCGGTATCAACGGCACACTCTTCTACAACACAATAAACTCAAAAGATATTTGACCTGTGATGAATATTTCAGACCTCTGAGGCTTGTGCTTTTCTTATATTTCTATGAAAGAAATTTGGGGCTGGAAAAGACTTTGCTTACCAGATGCCACCACAGTGCTGGCCCACAGGGTGTTCTCAATGCTCAAGCTCTCGTGGATGGGAGGGTCACAGTCCTCCTGGGGACAGAGGTCGTACATTAGTTCAGTCTGTTTTGATTTCATGGTTATCTAGCACAGGAAAAAGCGGTTATCAATTATGGCCTTTAAAAAGCAGGTCAATAAAAATGACAAAGACTCAAAGCACAAATAATGAATTGATGAACTTTCATCACGACGAACGGTAAGTAGGGAATTAGACGGCAGATTGAATTACACTAATGCCCGGTTAAGCGACACAGTCCATTTAGAGGGAACGGTGAAATCGGTTTGACTTGATTTGCCTTGTTTACAAAAACAGCGCCATGCTGAACATCATAATAAGGCCTCGTTTAGTGTTAGCACGCTCTGTGCTGAGCAGAACAGAACAGGCCATAAATCAGGGGAGAAGCACAGAAATTAAATCTTTAAATGCTTTTTTCCACATAACATGTTGCGGCTGGGTGAATACGGATGATATCTAATTATCCTCTGTCAGTAGGGCATAATATACAGTGAGAAAGAGGGCCACACACATCGCAGCTGCCGAGACATGCGCATTGTCGCAGATAGCAAGAGAGATGTGTCCTCTATTTAAGACGGCCCACTTGTTCTTGTCATTTGTCTTTTTCTGGCCAACAGATGTAGCAATGCCAGCCTGTCAGATTGGCTAAAACTGGAAAGAGGTCCATGAAGAGAAAAGGCCTTTTATCAGTGATAAGGCTCAAAGAAATGGGAGTGTTTTAACCCATAAATCATAATTCCATACTTACGATAAAACTTCTATGAAACTTTTAAGTTTAATTATAAGTTTTAGTTAACATGGAAAGAAACAGATCCAAGATGTGCATTCATAATTCTTTTCTGCAGCAGTGAATCTGACAGTTTAATGAGAAACATTTGGCTGCATCATATTTAAGTCATAAAACGGTCATAACTTAAAGGAATAGCTCATCCAAAAATGAAAATGTTGTCATTATTTATTGTTCTAAACCCGTATGACTCTATTCTTTATCTGGAAGATAAAAGACGATATTTTGAGAAATATCTCTGTTTTTGTCCCTCCAATGGAAGTTAATGCTCATCAAAATTGTTTTGAGTACAAATATTCTTCAAAATATCTTCTAATGTGTTCAACAGAAGAAACGACGTAGATTATGACATCATTTTCATCTTTGGGTGAACTACAGCAAATACATTTACAGCAAATATATTTATTTAGCTATAAAAATCAGGATATATTTATTTATTTCATTATTTTTACACTACCACAGTTTGGTTTGGGGTCTCTCTCTCTCTGTGTGTGTGTGTGTGTGTGTATGATTGTGTGATTCATATACATATACATGAGTTTATTTGCAAAAACAGACAACTCAAAAATTGTAATTTTCAAAAATCATGTTCATAGCTGTATTTTTTTAGTTATTTTTTTACTTAATCAAAATAACCCAACTGCAGTTTGATTGAGATTAATTGGAATGCACAATGAAAAAACATGATATTTGAAAAGTGTTAAAACATATATATTAAGAAATTAACACTTCTAATTAGTATGGACACATTAAATTGATCAAAAGTAACAGATGTCTTACATTACAAAATTTCTCTTTCAAATAAATTCTGTTCTTTTGAACTTTCTATTCATTACAGAATCCTAAAAAAAAAAACTGTATCAAGGTTTTGCTAAAAACATTTAGCAGCACAACTGTTGTAACAGTTTTTAAAATTTGTAATAATGCTGTATATTTAATCAAACAAATGCAGCCTTGGTGAGCATTAAAGACTTTAAAAACCGTGCAGACCTCAAACTTTATATATGTATAACTTCATGAACTGTATATAAAGCTAATAGTAGAAATCAACCCTAAACCATAACCTACCACTAAAAGAAAAGTTTTAATTTATAAATCATTATGCAATTGTTTTTTCTCCAAACGAGAATGTCACCGAAGTTCCCCAATGTATAGCTAAATAAACCCACACTCACACCTGTTTAAATACAGAGGCATACAGACAAGAGTAAATAAAATTAGCAGTGAACGCGCAGGCATCATGACTGAAATGGACTGACCTCTCAGCTACTAACAAAGATGTGCGTGCATGTGACTGCCATTTAGAATAATCATATTCATATTTACATTTTTAGATTGTTGTATCCAGAGTGACTTACAAATGAGAATAATACAAGCAGAAGCGATCAATCAAGTGATTAATCAATGGATTAAAATGTCATGGTAAGGGGCTACTGACATCGGAACCATAAAACTATTAAAGGGACAGTTCACTCAGAAATGAAAATTTTGTTATCATTTACTCACCCTCGTGTCATTCCTAACTTGAATGGCTTTTACAGTGCTTTTTGTCATTTTTAAGCTTGACAGTCCCAGTGCTCATCCACTTTCATTATATGTAATAGAGAATATTCTTCAAAAACACATCTTTTGTGTTCCACAGAAGTAAGAAAGTTCAAAACATAACGGTGAGTAAGTAATAGCAACATTTTTGGACGAACTACTCCTTTAAATAAATAAAGCACTGAAGTGGCAATAAGGTGCAGCAAGTGTGCGGGTAGTAAAGAACTGTGGGAAACAGCATTTGGAAGTGTGTCCCTGTAGCTGCAGATTTGTGAAAGCAGGCTCAGGAGAGTGACTCAGCGCAGGAAGTGATCTTCTGCCCCTGCATGCTGTGTGGCCAAGAGCGAAGACTTCAAACAAAGACAGGCTTTATGTGGGGGGTCCCTTTTTTCCTTTTTTTCCTCCCTCTCTCTTTCTCCAGTACTGCGCTAATCTGCTGTTAATAAGGAACTGTGCTCGGCCAATGGGCTGGGAGCGAGCCTAACAACCCGTGATGTCATCAGCGTTGCAAGGAATGCGTCTCGTTGGCCGGTTTCACATTCCAGAGACACTTCAGCTCATAGTCATGTGAACAGGCACACTTTGAGAATCCATGTTATTTTAATGTGCAATTAAAAACAGCGGTTAGGTTTAGTTTAATGGGCAACAACACAACATTAAATACCTCTACAAAAAGCTAACAGCGGGTTTAAATTGGGGCCGTGACGTCACAGCTCATGCTAAACGAAGCCTTGTAAAAATTCCTTCATTAACAGCAGTTTTTCTTACCCTTGTGAAGTTCCCCTCAAAACTGTGAATGTCCAGCTGAGGCTTCTGGGCGTAAACGTACGCGCTGACGGAGAAGAGATCCTGCGGACAGCAAGCGAAAAGGTCAAGAAAAAACATGAACGCAATAAATCAGCACCAGAAATGTCATCCGACGAACTAAATTCTGGGCTCGGCCCAAACCCGACCTCTCGTTCGTGCGAGTATTATGGCAGGACTCAAAGCGACTAGCAATCAGAGCGATTCTCATGAAAATAAGCCCCTTCTGACATCCTGCCACAAGTCTGAATTTCAAACAGAACAGATAATGCAGACAAAACAACGTAATTAAAACTAAACGAAACTTTGACGGGTTGCTTACAAATTATAATGACTTTTGCATTCGATGACGTGTCCGCAAGTATGAAAAACAGGGATGTTTAGCGATCTGACCGTCAAGCCCACCAGATACCCGATCCGACCGCTCCCGCTGCTTTACTGCAGCAATCATTCGGCGACTTGCTGAAATTTTAATTCTGTGATCACATTAAGTGGTTTCGGAAAGACAAATACACACGTGAACCCTTGCTCGAGGTGAGTGTCATCTCCACGCCGATGGCACCAGGAGACAGGCCGTTTGGCGGATTCCAGTTGTCTCTTGGGGTAAAGTTACCAGCCCATGTGAAACAAACCCTCCGGCCAGTAAATCAGATACACAGTGATATCAAACATGAGCCTTCGTATCATCAGCCTGAGAGAGTCTGAGTGTGGGACACATCACTCACTGCCTATGGGGGTAAAGTTACAGACCCATCCGAGAACAGAACAGAAGGAGCTGAAATGTGATTTGGGATGCAGCAGCTTTTGCTCCAGAAGTAGATGGGTGATGATGTATTTGACAGTTCGAATCATCTTACTATACTATTTTTCATATGATATACTTTATTTTGAGCAATTGAAAAAAAAGCATAAGTCCAATTTATTCCACAACTCACAGACTAGTACTTTGGTATAAAAACATTTATATGTGCCAAGCATAAATGCACCATTAATAGACATAAATGTAAAAGACTAGGACTAGATCATAACATTGTATTTCATACAAGAAGTCAAGCTTGCTGCACTTGCCAAATATTTGTATAATTTATTATTAACAGGTATTAAGATCATGGCAATATCGAATATGTACTGTTTTTGTGCTAGACGAGGCTCATACCCCTAAGGCAGGAAGTCTTTGAGTGCAAGCAACAGTGATTCGCAGCTTCCAGTCTGTCTCTCCATCCAGCTGATCTGTTCTAATAAAACATGAACCTGGAAAACAAAACATTATCTTAAATCTGACAGAAAAAGATATACTTTATATAAAAATCTAATATTTGACAACATCCGATAATCTATTCTGGTGTATTATCTTTATTTACAGACAGAAAAGTGAGAGGGCTAAAGACATATGCGTGAAGGACGCATTTGTTATGGGCCAAAACCTTGGCCCCTATTCACTAAAGAACTCTGAATGCTTAACATATTGTTCATATTGATCTTGGACAAGACTGATATAACAGTAGGCAGTAGACAAGAAAGGTCATTGTCTTTAAGCTCTCAGAGCAAAAGCTTCAGTGTTCATCATGCTCCATATACTGAGATTACCAATATTATCAAACCTTGCTGAGGCACAACCTGTAAAAGCATGCCTGGGTCATATTTCTTAAAAAAAAAAAATATATATATATATAGTATTTCAAGAAAAGAAAGTAATTGGGGGAATTGTAATAGATAAGATTATAATAATTTAAAAAAGGACCCTAAAATAGACTTCACTGACTTTCTGTAAAAATTTGATAATAAATGATGCTGGGTGAAATATAGACATATTCTTCACGTTACAGTATTCCATATACAACTCATAAGAGCATCTGCTCACTAAGACATGGTTAACCAATAAAAAAAAATAATAATTTGAATTGTCCATTAATTGACAATTTAATTGTCCATTTTGACACCCAGCCAATTGTCATTTTGTCCATTCAAAAATGAATCAATTCTGAAAATATGTATAGATATAGAAAATCTGAAAATATTTATATACCAAAAAACTCTAACAAGCAAACATGAGAAATGGAATTAAGCTCAAATTTAGAAAAGTGTTTAAATTGTATAAGAAAATTAAGTAATAAAACTTCTATTTATAGAATGAGCTCTACAGGTTCCATATGAGCTACAAGGTGCCTGCGGGAACACTGTTGGAAACCACTGACTAATGACACAAGTAGTTATCGTCTGAAACGTCTGAAAGCTTCACTTGTATGTGAAGAGTGAAACTCACCAGTCTTCTCTGATGTTCTCAGAAAAATCATATCAGCAGGAATTCTCTGATTCTATAAAACAAAATATTACTCATCAGTCAGAGGCACATGGGGTTTCCATACTATCCACCTAGACTTGCCCACCTAGGCAGCTTAGAATCTTAAGAGATATTAATATATTAGTTATGCTGAACTTAGCAATAATGTGGGCATATACGTATGTTATTGACTCCAGTTCTGTAACGTTAGTCCTATTTTAGCGTTGTGTTGAATAATTGAACAAGGTCATTTCCCTAGCAAGCAATTAAAGCGAACCACAGACAGCGAGGGGAGAGACAGACACAATGTCCCACTGAAAGAATGACAGGATTTCATGTGATGGATCACGTAGCAGCAAGTTTATGCTGATACCTTGAACAACAAAAGAGAGGAAGGGATAAAAAAATAAAAAAAAAAGGGACAACAAACCTTCTCCACAATGATTAAATCTCCAACCTGTATGTCTGAGCTCTTTACTTGGACCTTCCCTGAAAAATACAATGGACAAATAATTGTAATTAGAAATGAATTATTTAGCCGTAGGTAATAAATTAGCCCTGCGTCCAAATTTATATTGAATAAATACACTTTTTAAAATGATAAATATTAGGGTTGACAAAGTTAACATATCAAAAAGAATTAACAGTTTGTGTGATTTTTCTAAAAAATTGCTCAGAACATTTAGAGCTGACTGAGACTGAACAGAGCCACTAAGATTTCACACACACGCAGACAAAAGCCCCAAGCAGAGTACCCGTTTCCCACTAGATGGAGAAAGACATTTTTTATGGATAATTTATTCATAAATTAAACCCAGACAGGGCTTTTATAAAAGTCATTTGCATTCTTTGTATGGTGAAATTGAATTATCATTGAAGATCAACAAGTGACATGTCACCCAGGAGTGAAACAGAGGCATGGACCTTTACACATGCAATATTCCTAAAGTTAATAAATTGCATATTTGCATAAATTTACTGAATTGCATATTTTCTGTGCTATTTGATGTAGTTTGACCAGTGAGACGAGTGACATCAATACAAATAAGTCAAACCCAATAATTTAATGTTATTTAGCTCCCTTTCACTAAAAAGGAAATAAATGTTAACAAAAAGATAAATAGAGATTATATTAAACCAATGATATAATGCATAATTTTACAACAAGTGCAAAACCTGAAACCCCCCCCCCCCCCCAAAAAAAGGCAGATAAACCAATTATCATGTCTTTTAACTATTATATTATCTTAATAGGTTCCAAATCAATTAACTCTTGAAGTCAATGGAGCTCAAACAGGATGATCTGTGTATATGGCATAATATCATCAGGATGTGTCATATTGTGGTCACCTCTCACTGTGAGTTTACTGTACAGCTGGGAATTCATCTCTTTATCTCTCCTGCAGCGCCGAACTTCGTCAACTGCCTCTCTCACCATGGTGACAGCTAACACAAAGCCCTAGACAACAAGAAAAAAAAGGAACAACAAAAGTGATGATTGAAATTACATTTTTGTGTTCAACTCCCATCTTAGTGCGGTTAGATGTACTCACCAGCGGGGCCCAGTAGGTGTACAAATATCCTATCTTCAGCGATGGAACAAACTGAGAACAAGCCACTACCAAAAAATACAAGTTGAGGAAGAACTTAAACTGCTGGTAAAGAACCTAAAACAAAAGAAAGAGAAAGCACCAAAAATAAATAATCACCATGCCTTATATTTGATGAAGATTTGACAATATAACCATGACAAATTGAATAAAAAAATGTAAGGTAATTGACAGTAATACACATAACATTCTAACACAGCTTTTGGAGGTACACCTGATTGGCTTATACATAATTCATCATACAAGCTGCAAATTCTTTGCCAAGGGCACATACAGAAGGCGCGTTCCACTGAATAAGACATCGCCAGCAGTCATAATACAGTAGATCACTTACACACTCAGTGGAAAAAGATACGTTAGATTGCTGTTACACCCCCTTACTTCACAGCTAGTTACACATTAACCTGATTACTGAGCAAATCTGCTGTGCGTACAATGGGTAGAGATTTCACTTTAAACAGCCTAGCGAGAGCTGCACAAAAAAAAAAGTTCTGCGCCTTTGAAAAGAAAATGTCAAATAAAACAAGACTAAAATAAAAACATAAAAATGAAATTAATTATAAATAATACTGATAACATAACAACTATATAAAAACAGCAATACAAAATTTCACAAATATTAAACAAAATATTCTTATTTTTTAGCTCAATTTTAGCACTCTCGGAAACCAAAAAAAAAAAACATGCAGAGATTGTTTATACTGCCTTACCCCTGGCACAAAAGTGACAATGTTGTATTTCTGATTCTTGATGGCATTTTTGGGGTACTTCTCTTCACATTTCTCAGGGTGCCCCAGCCACACCGTCCGAACTTTCAGCTCCTTCTTCCTGCGACATGTGTGAACCAGACATTCGCAACAGCTGCGTGACAGAGACCACGGGAGGAAAAAGATCATCCAGTGATTAGACAAATTCACTTAAAGGAGGACACAGTGCTACAGGCGCAGTTCAGGCCTGGATTCCAGTAAATGGTCTTTATTTAAAAATATCCCTGACCGAATAATTAACAAATATCAAGGCTGGTCATTACTCCTAATTTAAGGGTTGCACTGAAAACCGGTGATTTTCTTGAATTATCACCCTGTTAATCACTTAAAACGCTCTTGAAAACGAACACTGAGACCTTTTGCGGAATTCATCACCAGCCGCGCGTAACCAGTTGATTCCACTTGAAATACAACTGACGTTAATGCAACATTAATGTAAGTGATGTTAACAGAGAGCGAAGACAGCCTAGCTCAGTCTAGTTTGACTTGAACTTTAAGCAGATACACGGAACACTTCCACCAAGAAGTAAGACTGAAACAGTAGAGCTAGAAAACAGTAAAAGAAGAGTACGGATGTGAAGGGAAATTTTTGAGATGGATTTAAATGTGGATTTCTGATCACAGACTCATTTTGCTTCCGTAATATGAAATATTTGACAAATGATGAATTGTGCATAGTAAAACCAAGAAGCCTTATGAAAAGTGGGTTAGTCAACTGAAAATACTACACTTATTGATTAGAATAAAGTCTAGAAAGTAAATAAGCGAGGGAGTTGAGGATGCATATCATTTTGTGAACGACAAACATTTCAAAAATCATCTGAGGCTGCAGATTCTATGCAGGCCTTGCGATACCTAAAGAGAACAACAAACCTGTAGATGACGTCCTCTGTCACCCCCTGCCAAATAAACCCCTCCCTACTAAAACGAAAGCTCTGATTCGCTGTGAAGGTCAGAGAGAGCGCCAAACACTTTGTTGACCTTCATATTCATTTTATATTCTAGCGGTTGCCATCCCCGGTGAATGGCGTGACGGTACTCTGCCGGTACTCTGCGCAGTGTACACAGTCATGGCGATTGGTTTGGCTGGCACTGAACTAAATTACATAAACCTTGAAAAAATATATAATAATATTTGTGTTGGCCCCTTCTGTCTCCTGTCTGTAAGTGCCAGCGCCCTGATTCATAAAAGAGATTATTTGCTCAAATGAATGTAGTTCAAATAATAGGGCCGTTTGAATAAGCAGAGTTATTCTCTTTGAATTATTTGTTCATTTCATAATCCTTTGCCTAAGCACACAGAAAATGACTGGAAAGCAGCAAACTGGTCAGCTGTGCGAAATCCCATTTGTTCATTAGGAGAAGAAAAAAAAATCAATACCCAGCTTACAATTGAGATGCGCTGCTGATAATGTAGCGCATAAGTGGAGAAGAGTCAAGCACACACACTTTCATAACAATAAATGACTAATATATGTCACTGATGCCACACAAAAGGCATTGAGATATTGTGGGAATGCAAGTCCAAAACAGACATTCAGCTTGTTGACATCGTTGGCTGGATAAGCAAATTTTCGGTTGGTGTGTTTGACCTTCTGACTGATGATGCGCAGAGAGCACCTCAACCAAAAAGCAGGACCTGTGCTTGTGTGTGTATTTCATGCACAGTTACCGGTGCGTTAGAAAGGAGCTGAGCCAACCTGGCACAAGCACTACATACACACACAATAGGCTCCATGACAATGGTGACATTTTTTTAACAAAAGGTGAAGGCCAAGATGGTTTCAGCAAAACATCTATCTGTCTATCTAGACTGTCAATCAATTAAAAAACAAAATCAAATTAATAACATGATATATTAATCAAATAAAATCACATATATCAATCTTTTCTGATAAAAGCCCACAAATAAAGACAATTCAAAGACAATTTTATTTTCATATCATTGAAAAAAATCATAATCCACAACAAGGTGCAGTAACCTTGTTTATTAAAAGCATGCACCACAGTTCTGTTGTATGCTGCTTTAAAAGATTGAGCTCTTTTTTGTTTTTATCACTCTTCAACTAGAAAAAAAAATTCTTAATGTGATTTCAACAATAACGTTCCCCTGTGCTGTTAGGCCACGTGTCCACCAAAGCATTTGTTTTCAATTGAAGCGCATGTTTTTTAAAACACCAGGAGCATTGCTCAGCGTTTTATTTCTCGCCACCGACAGTTGAAGATTATTGATGAAGAATGAAAGAAAACGCAGCCCATCACTGTCAATTTTTAGTCAGCCGTCCAATCAAAGTGGAGGATGGGCAGGACAAATTCCACACCGACCAAACGCCACATCCTCCTTGTACAACAGCAACAGATGACAACAAGAAGCACAACATGGAACAAAATCATTTAAAACAAGGGCCAGATCAAGTACTTTATATTGTGTCAACATTTTAATATACTAGTTACTAGTTACACTTCTGCGGATATTCCATATCATTGCACCCAAAGTGTCTCAACTGAAAAAAGAAAAAAGAAATAAAATGCTGCGCCGCAGAAGCGCTCTCAAGCACTCACAGCTAGGCATTTTCAGCTGGTTAAAAGTGCTTTGGTGGACACACTGCCTTATGGTTACAAATGAGGTATGGACTTCCCTGTTCTCATAGAATTAGAATGCTTAATAAAAAGTTATAGTTATAATTATCGCCCTTGACATGAACAGGCCTTTACAGTCAAGACCAAACTATATGCAGTCGAGTTTTAAATCAGAGGCCATTCATAAAGAACAGGTTCTCATGATATTTTTTAATTGCTGGTCTTTGTAAGTATCCATCAGATAACAATGCATTATGTCTTGCATTTTTGTGACACACAGTCAAGTTAAAAAAAAGTGGTTGATGCTAGATAGACAAAATACTAATTCTAACTGACTAATTTAAAGCGTTAGTTCACCCAAAAATAAAAATTAGCCCATGTTTTACTCACCCTCAAGGCATCCTAGGTGTATATGACTTTCTTCTTTCAGACGATTCCAATCGGAGTTACATTAAAAATTATCCTTGCTCTTCCAAGTGATAGAATGGCAGTAGGCGGGTGTTTTTTTTTTTTTTCTCAACAGTCCGTAAGGCAAGGGAAGGCAAGTTTATTTATATAGTACATTCTCTCATTTTCACTCACTTTCTCTCTCCTACGCACTTACTCTATTGTTTTTGTTTTTGTAGAGAGGCTCATTGTTTTCACGGTCAGTTCAATATAGGCAAGACAAGGCAAGGCAAGTTTATTTATATAGCACATTTCATACACAATGATAATTCAAAGTGCTTTACATAAAAGGAAGTAAAATAATCATAAAAAATTATCACAACATTAAAACAAGGAATTTAAAAACTTTTTAAATGATTTAAAAATTTATTTAAAATGAATTTAAAACAGTTAAAATAACTGAAGAAAGTTTTGGCACATCCAACTGTTAATTTCATCAATGCATTGGCAGAGGGAGTCAATGGGGCTGTAGTCATTTGGCGAGAATGCTAGGTAAATCTGGGTATCATCAGCATAGCTGTGATAGGCAATTTGTTTCTTTCTCATTATTTGACTTAGTGTGAGCATATACAGGCTAAACAAGAGCGGTGCAAGAATTGAGCCTTGTGGGACTCCGCATGTCATGGACGTCCACTTTGACTTAGGCTCTCCTATACTCACATAATAACCTCTCCCTTCTAAGTATGACCTGAACCATTTGAACACCATCCCAGGAAGCCTGACCCAGTTTTCCAGTCTCTCTAGTAGACAAATAAAGCACATCCACCCATAATAAAACATGCCTCACACGGCTCCGGGGGTGAATAAAGGCCTCCTGTAGTGAATCGATGCATTTTTGTAAGAAAAATATAAATATTTAAAATGTTATAAACAGTTTTCTCTCACTTCTGCTAACTGTCGTATGCGGAAGCCGTCCCGGGCGGATGACGTAGGACGCATGCGCAGCGCACGCGCCTGTGAGATATACTAGTCTCACGAGGTTGTTTACAGGAGCAAAGGAAGTTTCCTTATTTTAGCAAAAGAAAGCCAATCTCCTCTTGGCTTATATCGAAATCCACTGACATTTTTCTTTACAAATCCTTGTTTTGTGCTTCTAATTTGTGACCGGCGTTTTGTTTCGCTGTCTCTCCGTCCCACTTCTGCATTTGTCACTAATCACCAGTGCATGCACTACGCCGACATCCTACATCATCCGCCCGGAACGGCTGTGAGAGAAAAGTGTTTATAACGCTTTAAATATGGATATTTTTCTTAAAAAACACATCGATTCACTACAGGAGGCCTTTATTGACCCCCAGAGCCGTGTGAGGCACGTTTTATTATGAATGGATGCGCTTTATTTGACTACTTTTGGACTGATGAAAAAAACACCCACCTACTGCCATTCTAACGCTTGGAAGAGCAAGGACAATTTTTAATGTAACTCCGATTGGATTCGTCTGAAAGAAGAAAGTCATATACACCTAGGATGCTTTGAGGGTGAGTAAAACATGAGCTAATTTTCATTTTTGGGTAAACTAATCCTTTAAGAGCACTTAGATATTGAAGGTAACATTTTAATGCTTAAATATTAATATGAGCACTCACGTGGCCTATTACCTGGTGCACAGGACCTTCCATCCACCACAGAGGAACCAGCCCAGCCCAGTCTTCTGACTCACTCTGGCTCTGGGCAGCGTCTGATAGTCACTTTCGTTGTTTTCAAAAGCTTCCTCTGACATCATCAAGGGCATCTGATCAAGGTTCGAGGATTCGTCTTCAATCTGATACCTGAAACATTGTAACATTAAGACAAAAAAAGATGATGTTAAGCATCATAATAATTATTATGAATTATAAAAGTTGTATAGACTTTTTCATTTATATAAATTAACAAAAAGGTAAATAATCTGCTAAACTACAAAAAGAGCATAGATTTTGTTTCAAATTAAGATGTGACGTCACAAATGTAATAAACAGACACTGTTTGTTTCCCAAAACAGCAGTCCTACTTTCATTATTACCTCTCAAATTTAAAAAAGACATTACGCAATAAAATAAGGGCATTTTTAAAGGCGCCTACATGAATGAGTGGAATAAAAAATGCAGAAGTCGAGGGATTTGTTCCTCTCTCACACTGTGTTCCTCATTTATCGAGACGAGTCTCAAACCCAGATCAGCAGAATGCTATTGTGACACTCTGAAACAGCCGATGTCCCGAGAGGATATCAACTTCCACCCACACAAAAGCCTGGCCGTTTCTGCACCAGATCCACTTTAGCCTTAGCGTCAAAACCTGCACGCTCTCTTTTCACTCTAGAGCTGTCTGTGGATAGATTTAATTAATGCAATTAGGCCTCTGTGACCACTGTAAACACTGAGAGTCTTTTGCAGTTGAACACTAAAAAAAACATACAAATACCTACCAGCCTCAGACTGTGCTGACTGAACAGGTCTCCTCAGGTAGTGATATTGTGTCTGTTAAATTATTAAAGACGCGTAATAAACTTACAATGGAGGACATTAACAATCTACAAACTCTAGTCCTAGGGATTTTAAAAGCAACACTCCCTTTTCCTCTAAAAGAATGAATCAGGAAGAAATACATTTGAGAGTTCAGAGAGTGTGAATCATATTTGATCCTCCATAACACACCGAATGCCCACATTGTGTAGTGAAGATTACTGCCCTTACTGAACTGTATGATAAAATAAATCAGATCACCACTAAATTTGCTTAAAAATCAAGCATGTTTGACCACATTTAATGTGCTCTACGCATATGTGTTGATCAATGTTTATATGTAAACAACAGTCTAAATTAAATCTGTTCATCATATAAAGTGACTTAGAACACTTGGATTAAACTGCGTAATTTATATGGACTGTTTACTATGCATTTTTGAATCCTGAATGTTTTGGTGGAATGGACTTTCAATGGAGAAACAGAAATCTCTCAGGTTATTAAAGGAACAGTTCACCTAAAAATGAAAATTTACACATCCAAGATGTAGTAAATATACAATAGAAGACAAATTTGTTTCTTCATCGGAACAGATTTGGATAAATTTAGCATTACATCACTTGTTCCCTAATGGATCCTCTGCGGTGAATGGGTGCCATCAGAATGAGAAATAATCCAGTCTATCAATTAATTATTAATGTCTTGTGAAACGAAAAGATGCATGTTTGTAAGAAACAAACCTAACATTAAGACATGTGTTTTGGCCAGAAATAGTTTCAAGTTAAAACTAGTCGAGTGGATTACTTGTGCATTATCATGATGTTTTAGTCAGCTGATTGAACTCTTATTCTGATGGCAACTTAGATGGCCTGAAGTGAATACAATTTAGGCACCTTTTCATTAAATGTGTAAGTCTGTGGTCTGGATGCACAGAAATCAACCTACGCATGGCTTACTTAAAGCTGGCTCTGCATAATAATTTCTCATTGATTTCTTTTGAGTTTGGCGCGAAATATGGTCCAGACATGTTCTTGACAAGTTTCGTGAGATTCACCATTATAAGAGACTTTGAACTAATGGGAAATGACAAATATCAGCTCTACAAAGGCTAATCGGTTCCTGCCACAATAGGCAAGTTATTATTGAGGTATGTCAACAAAAACACATCACTCTCACTTGTGTCTATGTGGATTTTAGCCTTTGATGTCCATTAAAAATGCTTTTAGGTTAACCCGTCTCGACAGCGGTCAAGCAGAATGGGTGTAATAATACAAATACGGACAACTAAGTTAGCTGACCGTTGTAATCATAAAATGATACAGTCTAGCAGGGCCAATGCTCGAGATTCGAAGCCCGCAGGCCAACCACTGATATTTGTATTCAATTGTATGATAAAAGAAATCAGATCACCATCAAATCTGCTTAACCACCCATATAAATCAAGAAGGACATCAGAATAAGCAAAGTATGAGCCAAACATAGCTGGTGGTCCAATTAATCTCTCCTAACTGTGGTCAGTTCTTCTGCTCTCCTCTTTCCTCCTCAATAAAACACAAAACGATTCACAAAGTGATTATGTGCAATAGCATTACCCCAAACAATGAAATCAAATTAAGCAAGCACTTTGGTTTTGGTCCATACTCTCAAGCAGCAATGCCACAAGTGGTCCTTAGACTGTCAGCATTTGGCAAACAGCTGGATGCCATAAATACAGATCCTGTCTGCTGTTAGGCTGTTTATGCGGTTCAGGAAAACCAGATGGACATTAGTTTCTAAATGAATATCTTTGACATCTTTGCCTCGCATAAACCGTGGGAAAACAGTTTTCAGCGATATCTTGTCAAGCTCAGCATCACAAGAACATGGCATGTCTTCGCCATATACCTAAGGTATGAGATATGCTATAGATGGAACAAAGCCTCATAAGATGGTCTAATGTAGGGCTGTGCGATATTGAAGAAAAATGCGATATGCGATAACTCATTAAATAATGCGATATTCAATATGCGATACGATAATGCTTTAAAGTGCCTCATGCTCAGATGAAACAGTTTTACTCAGCTGTTGCTGAGTCAGTTCTGTGAACTTCTATAACTATCTTGTGTCATATATATATGGTTATTTGTATGTATGCATGTATGTACCAATAGTTCCTGTAAAACCACAACAAATTCCTTGTGTTTGCACATACTTAAGTGGTGAATAAAGCTCATTCTGATTCTGATTCTAATAAGAAAGCACCCCTACAACAACTTCTGAAAGTGAGCGATAATGTTTTACTCGAGCATTACATAAAAATGTCATTTTAACATTAGTTTAATCATTTTAACATGAGTTTAGGAACTGAATAATAAAAAGGAAAAATAAAACACTGCATAGTATTTACTCTTAGAATTCAATATGCACTGATTCTTATTTAGGCTACAAAAGTTATTTAGGTAAGAGCAGTGAGCGATTTTCTCTTTGTCTTTTGTTCATGGCCCCAGATATTGCAAGCTGTAGCGATATGCATATTGCGATATGTACATTTGCGATATTTCGATAATTTGGATATATTGCACAGCCCTAGTCTAATGATAAACCAAAAGCTTATGACATTTTCTATGAACGTACCTGACGCACGTGAATTGTGTTTTGGGTGCTTTGTGATGTTTAATGAATGTTCTGGAACGTTCTATAGACATATTCTATGTTATTATATATGAGACGCTCCATAAATGTACTTACACCTACTGAATATCTCATGAGCGTGTTATAATACGCCTCAATGAACGTACCTAAGACGTCTCCCGAGTAGGAACCGAAGTGACAAACATCTCACATGATTATATCACATCTCTCGGGGAGTCTTGTATCCTCTCATGTCCTATCAACTGTAATCTGACACTGACAGCTCGCGCTGCTGAATTTACACTGCCGCTAGCGTTAGCCCGTTAGCACTCAACCCCGGAACCGTGGCATAAACAAACCCAATATCAACACATACGTTATTGTAACACCTCAAATGACTGTCTTGTGTTTAAAAGAGGTGTCTGAGATGAATATGCATCCGTCTACATACCTGGTAGGTCTGCCAGCATTATAATACGCAGTTTTTCTCGAATTCTTCCGTACAGGATTCAGACGGATGCTGTCTGCCATCTTTGCTCGGTTACGTATGAATGTCGTCACGTCCGGACTAGAGTGAGGGGAGATATCTGCTGTAATCTGGAAATGTGATTCTGAAGGTATTTTATTTTATGGTGCTTTAATATCTTACTTGGTTGAAGTTATGGGCTTCCGTTGATGGATTATTTCACATTAGGCATCTTACCAGTGTTGTCTTGCCGTTCTTTGAAGGCTTGTGTGCTCAAATGAGGCCAACATTTTGCATTTAAATAACAGTAATATAATGACATAATTTTTTTAAATAACAATGTCTGACTCAAGTTTATGTCACAACACAAACAAATACCGAGAGACAAAGAGATAAAGAGTGAAGCACATATAGTTACAAAATACAAGTAAGGTGACACAAACAAAAATATTTTGTTTGAGATTTATTTATTGAGGGTGGCAGCAATATTGCATCTTAGAAATAAATCCAGTTCAGTCAGCATGTTTGAGACACCACCTCAGTTGTTCCATGTAAAAATACTGATGTGCAGACAGAAAAGCAAACCTGGTGTACTTTTTATTCGTTATAATGTATCTGAGTACAAAAATAGTGTCTCCTTTTCATGCAGAGGACACATTGAATCCCTTGTTTCACCATTACCTATCTTGTGAAAAAACTGCTCGTTCATATTTTTATGTTTTTTCCCCAACACTAAACAATATATTATATAAGGAAAATAGCACTACAAAATAAAATAAAATAAAAAACACAAAAAATGACCTGACATGACACGCTTAGTGAATAAGACATAAGCTACCATTACAGACAAGTATATTGTTTTCACTTTTTTCTGTTTCTGGAAACATTTATTTATTTTGTTCTTGATAGGAAAACACACTTCTAAATTGTGAAATAGAATTGTCCTGCAACACGTTCAGATGCATCACAAGGGCTTCATTGATAACTATACCTTAAACTGAAGTGTAAAGGTGTTTTTAATGAAAGATCTTTATTAGCAGTCTTATTATACTTAATGGTCTCATGTTGGCCCACTAATTAATTTTGCATGTAAAAGTAAATAAGGCAGAGAATAACATAAAACATATAATTAGCATTAATAATAACATAGCACAGGCTGGTATAAGATGGAACGTTTCATTGCTGAAAGCAGCTAAAATGACACTAGCTTTCATGGTGGTGTACTTGATTTGCATGAAAATAAATGGTTTGCATCCAATGCATAGCAGCAAAGCAGTGGGATGTCAAAGAATAATACATCTCTTTTCAAAGCCTCTGAATTGTCTCTTTATCTTTTGCTCGGGGATTTAAGTTACATACTTTCAGCTGTAGCTATATTAAGACCACAGTTTGGGAATGAAAAGTTTCTATTATATATGCAAACATGTTCCCTTTCTCATGAATAAGGCGATGTTTAACAGCAAAATCAGAGGGTAAAAACAAATAAAATAAAATACATATTTACAACATAAAATAATCATTTCATCTCAAAGCAATGCCCTTGGATCAAGTGTAAGGTTTCAGTCAGTGGACATAATTGAAAAACTAACCGTGGCCTCAGTTTAAACAATAAAATAAAAAACAAGTGCCATTATAGCATAAGATAAACTGAATCTTTTCCCACATGAATCAAGCACATTCTAAAGAGTTTATTCTGATTTTAAAAAATCAAGACACGTTTAAATTTGCAATGTTCCTTATGCAAGGAGAAATAATATGTCACCTTTACTTTAATTGATTCCAATGTCTTTTTTGTCATCAATCATCATGGAGAAGTGTTGTCCAGCACCCCTTTCTAAGCCTGTTTTTTCCATGGCTGTGATTGGTGGGCTGTTTCCAGTGCTAGCCTTGTCCGTGGCCACAGTAATGGCAGGAAGCTGGGGGACTCCTCCACTCTGAATGACGGATATTTCATTGTTCCTCATTGCTAAGCCATTAGTTATAGCTGCTGCATATCGGCTCCAGAAGTTTTGGTCCACATTCATGGCCCGCGCTGCTAAATCCTTCTGAAACGCTTCGCTGAATTTCAGGGCGTCACCGCCCAGAAGGGCAATTGGGTTTTCCACAGACAGACGTCTACCTCTACGGGCAGGAGTGTTATTCCACATATGGGTGCCCATGTGCACCTGTAGACAAACAGAAATGAAAAAGAAATCAATAACAAATATTTGTACGATATTTGCGGCATTTGTGTGTCTGTAGCTTTGAGCTGTAGACTAAATTACAAAAAATTACTCATGTTGCGACAACCACCATGTGTATTTTATTAATTTATTTATTCTTTTTTTGATTTTTTTTTGATTGACAGGATGGTGAAGAATTGACAGTAAAGGGAGAGAGAGGGGGAATGTGAGTGGGCCTTGACCAAGAACGGGCTCAAGCCCGGGTCCACACATGCACAATAGGTTTTTACATGTTGGGAACATAACACAATTCAACAATGGTAAGCATTTTATGAAAATGATAAGAATAAAAATAAATAAAATAAAAGCAAATAATATGTTTAATTTAAAAATGTAAACATAATTTAAAAGCTCATATATAGTTTAAGCTACTCACTTGTTAAATAAAATACAATAATGATCATACATACCTTGAGATTACCCTTGGTTGTGAACGCTCGACCGCAGACAGAGCAGCCGAAGGGTTTTTCGCCAGTGTGTGTGCGCTCGTGGATCTGCAAGGCACTGGCAGAAGAGAAGTTCTTCCCACATGCTCTGCAGTTGTGTTGCTTAGGGGTCCGTCTGGCAGGGGGTGGACCAGTGAGTGAGGTGACGGCCGGTATCATCACCTCAGAGCGCGAGTTGGGAAACTGCAGGCCAAATGCAGGGAAAGGCCCCTCTTTTAGAATGTATGGTCTATTGCAAGCATTCATCTCCAGTTTCACTGCAGTCGGCAAATTTTTAGTATCCTGTTCTGTAGACCTTTGAGCATTTTCTGAAAATAAAAATAAACAATTAGTATAAAATCAGCAGTGTAATAAAACAAATAAATACCATAATGCTGTGTATTAAGTGTTAAAGATGAAGTGTGTCATTTCTGGCCACAGAATGCCAAACAGAATTGCAGGTTTTTGTTCAAATTTTAATAATAATTAATCATTTATATAGATTAATATTTTTAACATTTCTTCTAGAAACCTCCAATGCATGAAAAAACAGACTAGTCCAGCTCCAAACTCACACCATTAGTTGAGTTATGTTGCGGTGTCAGGCATTGTGTAGCACCACAATGTTTATACATTTCAGGTAAACTGAATACGGCTTACTTACAGTTGTCTCTGCACATTTAGCTAGGATAGGAGATTAAAAAAAATATATGACACTTCAACTTTAAAGTAATTCAAATTATACAAAAAATACAACAGATTTTTGCTGCTTATTTAGTTTACTAAGAAAAATGTTTTGAACATTTTACCACAACGTAATTTCATTATTTTTAAATCACTTACATTTGTAAATTGGATTTTGTGTTAAGATTACATGAATCATTTTTGTTGGCATAGCTGGACAGTGGAATTTTAATTCCCTGCATGCTTAGCATATGACTGCATTAGCAGAGTACATTTTAAAAATAAATGTTATTTTACGTGTTTCTGAGTAAAAGGAAATACTACTGATGTTTAATGTTCAGTTATGTTATAGATTTAGAAGAGTTTCTGTTATTTTGTAATCTTTGTGTGGTTGCTGTTGTTCTAAAGTGTGGAGCTTGTGTTTAGGCTGTGGGCTACATGATGACTACAGTGTGTGTGTGTTGCTTTGCTCAGAAAGAATAACTGCTAACGCCAGTACTGAGACTAGGTTCATCTTACTCGTTCATCCCATACATTTCATATAATAATAATAAATGATGTTATATTTAGTATGCTACTATCTAACACAAGGACATACATTTACGTTTGTTCGAAAAAACATTACTTGTTTTAAATTTCATGTTCTAGTCTTCTAAAAACCTAAAATAACCTTTATCTAACTAAAATAAGCTTTTCTCAATATAATTAGGTTCACTGAGCAATTTTTTAGTGTACAGTGTTTTACTGGTATCATATAGCAGTTTTAGCTTACCATGTTCCTTATTAAAAAACTGCATGTTGAAAGAGTTTTCTTTCTTGAATGTAGAGGTGATAGGCTGGATTCCTGTTTGATTAACAGTCACCTCGTTGACTGTATTTGCTGCAGGACAATCTGTTGTTTCAGATTTTACTATAGATGTTGCCTCTGGGACTTTAAAGGAGAGGTTCAGAGAGACTAAGTGCTCATGTTGGCCCTCAGGTTGACTGCTGGGATAGGGTGAAATGTGAATAGAACTAGACGAATGTGGCATTAAACTAGTTTTTATGCTGTGGTTCTCCATCTCACCAGTGGTGGTAGAGCCCAGACCATGAAGATCGTTATCCATAGGTCCGCACCTGACCATCATTTTTCCATTTGATTGGCTGAGATTGACGGATGAGTCTTCTCCTACGCTTTGAGTTTCTGATACACTGGTTGGAAGCGAGGAGATAGGTGGTGGACTGTCTGAAAATGAGCTCAGGGTGTTTTCATTGTTCTCCACAACATCCCCTTCTTCTTCAAATGAAATATCATCAAGACAGTCATCATCATAAGTGCTCATGCTGTCAAAACTCTCCATATCTGTATCTCTCTCGTAGATGGTTTCTGCCAGAGGAGTGTTTGGAATCTGCCCACCCATGTGCATGCGTATGTGCTGCTGTAACACAACTGCATTCGTGAACTTTTTCTGACAGATCGGGCATGAATGTTGAATCCGAAGAGGAGGCTTTGCACGGTGGACACCAAAGTGTGTCTTTAAGTTACCCTTTGTGGTGAATGCTCGGCCACAAACCTTGCATTTAAATGGCCTCTCCCCTGTATGGATGCGGTAGTGCATCTTCAGCGCGCTCTGACAGCTTAGCACGCGGTGACAGATAACACACTGATTGGGTTCCATCATCTTCTTATCGATGTTTTCCACAAACTGTTGGAGCTTTGATGTCTCAGATGTTTGCATAGAGTCTTGGAGACCACCAAATG